AGTGCTCGGAAAGCTTGTGTTTTCAAATAAACCTGTTGGGCTATAACCTGGTGTCGTGTGACTTCTGACCTTGTCCACCCCAGTCCAACACCAGCACCTCCACATCACGAAAGTCATGCATGACTTGGCGTCAGGGTAACACCAGTGCTCTTCTAAGCATATGGGCAGCTCAAGAACAGGGTTATTTTAACTGATACCAATACTGATGGTTACACCTCTTACCTCTATCTGTTTGTCCTTAAAGGTGTTACTGATACTGCTGTTGAAAGCAGATCCTGAGAACATGGAGGTGATTGGGTATGTCAAATCAAGCACTTTCTTGAAAACATTTGTCATTTCCTGTTGATAAAAAAATCATGAGTTATGAAAATTCATTTCAGACACACCAACTGCAGGAAACAATCAGAAGAGATGTTTCATCCTGGAAAGACGATTTTGGGCATGTGACTCTGACACAGTATTTACAGCAGAGCAACAAGTCATTGAGCCTAAATTTAATCTTCTGGTGTTTGTACTCCGCTCACGTTTACTCATACCTCTTTATCCAACCCATCTGCATAGTCTTCCTTTCCTTTCCTTTCTTCCGCAAGTACTCACCTGCTTTTCTCTTAATGGCATCAGCTCAGCTATACTCAGCCTATCTACAAAAACAAAATGCGGCGGATGCCTGAAATCTGAAATAAAACCTGAAAAGGCCTAGGGCTGCTCAGTAGCTCTGGCGTTTTCGGTTTAGTCCACAGTCCACCTCCTGCATCAGAGAGGGAGTTGAAATTTCCAGCTTTTGTTTTTGTCATTATTTTGAGACAAAACACAAAGACAAGGGAACAAATGCTCCTGCAATCAGGGCAACAGTAGCTTCCTTAAGCTGCTAATTATTGGCATCCTCACGCTCTATCACCTAGGTAAACAAATTGATGATACTCGGACAGATCACACTACAATGAATCAGGCTAATTAAACAAAATTATTAAAAACAAGAACAACCACAGCAATTTTAACAGATTACCAAATTTCACTTTCAGTCCCTTTCCAAAAGGCTTTATGAAGTTCCTTCCAACTCCATGGGAAAAGAAGTAAGCTGCTCAGCTCCTGAAGCCTGTTTGCCTATTCAATTAGACCATGAATAATTTGCATATCAAAATCAAATAACCTCCCCTCACAACATTCTATCTTTCCAGGTTTTGAAAATTTTAATTCTCTGAGCATCCGTGGTATTTTCGTGGGAGATATTCTTCATTCCCACCACCCTTTTTGTGCAAATTAACTCAAATTTCAAGAATGTGACACCTTTGTTCTGGAATCTCTTAACAGAGGAATAATCTTCAGTGTTTGTTAAATATTTTTATTATTTTAAAACCAATTAGATTACCCTCGAATTTTCAAACGAATGGAAATAAACCCAAGTTAATGCCACCTGTCCTACAAACATGCCAATTAGGAGTGGTAGGCCATTCAGCCCCTCTAGCCCGAGCTGCTACAGATGATCATGATTGATCTAAGGCCTCAAATCTACTCTCTTATCTAGTCCCAACAACCTCCAAGTCCTTTGCTAGTTAAGAATCTATTTTAACTTAAAAGTATCCAAGGTCCCCCACTGCTACCCTTCTCTGGAAGAGTTCCAAAACCCATGAGCCTCAGGGAAAAACTTTCTGCTCATTGCCATCTTAATTGGAACGCCCTTCATTGATAAATTGAGTAGCCATCATCTCCTATCAGAAACATCGTATCTGCATCCACCCTGCCAAGCCTCCTTAAGTTCTTAAAAGTTTTGCTAAAATCACTTCTTGCCTTCTAAACGCCCAAGGATAGGGGCCCAACCAGTCCAACCTTATCTCATTAGACAATCCCTCACCCCTACCTCAGGTATCAGTCAAGCGAACCTTCCCTGAACCGGTTACAATCCATTTACGTCCTTCTTTAAATAAGGGGACCAAAACTGTACATAGTACTTGACACATAGCCTTACAAATGTTCTATACCACTGTTGTTAATCTTCTCTAATTTTATATTCCATTTCTTTGCAATAAACAACACTGATAGCCTTCCTAAGCACTTCCTGCATACTAATCTTTTTGTGACTCTTCCACTACACCCAGATCCCTCTGTATCTCAAAGTTCTTCAATTTCTTTCCATTAAAGTAATATGTAGCTTTTCTACTTTTCCTACCAAAGTGGAGAAGTTCACATTTTTCTACTTTATAATCCATCTGCCAAAATGCTGTCTACTCACTTACCCATCTTAAATTTGTGTCCTTTTCACAGTTCATGTTCCTACCTATCCTTCACATCATAAGCAAATTTAGCAACCACACATTTGAACCTTATCTATGATGCTTGTTACTTCCTCAAAGAATGCAAATTAATTAGTCAAATATGATTTCCAAGACTGCAGTTCTGAAGAGTCACATTGGAGATATCAACACTGTTTTCTCTCCACAGATGATGATAGACCTGCTGAATTTCTCCACCTTTTTCTGTTTTCATTTCAGATTTCCAGTACCTGCAATATTTTGCCATTATTTTGATTTTAATTTGCTCATCAGTGCCTGATATCCAAGGATGAGACCAACACTTGGATGTCCAAAACACTGCGTGTTCAAATCACTGATTCTCTCTTCACCACAAAAAGTTCAGCAGAATTTCAGATTCTCTCAGAATTATAGAATACAAGAGAAAAAAAGCAGCAATGTGGAGATTGTTTAGGCCACACTGAAGAAGTACTGTACCACATGACAAAGAGGCTTTGGAGCCAATAGTGTAGACATAACAGGATGATGCTAGGAAGGGAAACTCTAATTGTTAGGTGATACTCCAGGTGCAGGATCTGTTTCCACTGGAGCAGAGAAGACCAAATGGAGATTTACTGTGAAAGAATGCTGCACTGTTGAATGCTTTACCACTGTGAATAGTTAGAGCAAAAAGCTTTGCATCCATAAAGGAAGAACTGCAAAAGCTCTTGAAATAGAAGAAAACACAGTAAGGAGAGAGAACTGGGCAATAAAAACAAAATGCTGGAGAAACTCAGCAAGTCTGGCAGCATTTGTGGAGAGAAATTAGAGTTAATAGTTTGGGCCAACTCACCTCCCTCCATGCCATAAACATGCATTGTTAAATTTAGTTTCAAGTTAAAATTCAAGTCAAACCTACTGCCTGTGTGCTACCTTCCAAACAGAAAAAGGAATCACATACAATTACAATGTTTAAAAGACATCTGGATAGATACATGAATAGGAAAGGCTTGGAGGGATATGGGCCAGGAGCAGGCAGATGGGACCAGTTAGTTTGGGATTATGTTCGGCATGGACTGGTTGGGCCAAAGGATCTGTTTCCGTGCTGTGTGACTCTACGTCACTGGGTGAAAGCCTGTGATGAAAACGTCTGAAATAAATTAGTTTAGAATTTTCTGCTCATTACAAAGTTACATAAAGTAATAGTGCCTTCTCTGAGGCAAGGAAGTAAGTTAAAAATCAACTGTGTATGGAATCAGGAACATGAAGCTAAAACTCTTAAGTTTTAAAAGACTCGAAATCTGCAACTTAATAAAATGAGGTCTGATATTACAATAGTGACTATACTTCAAAATGTACTTCATTGGTTATAAAGAATTGTGGAATGTCCTGAGATTGTATAAGTGCCACAAAAATTTTTCTTCAACAATAGTCTGTTCTAGATTAGCAGATTAAGGAAGACCAGGGCACAAGTGTAAACTGGGAAGGATAGAAATGCAAAGGATAGTACACATTTGCTTGGTTTCCCAAAGAGTCTGAGATACATTGCCAGCTGGTGTAGAGAATGCTGACTCTGTGTTTTCAAGGGGGAGCTGAGCCGGTTCTTGATTGGGCAGAGTTCTTATCTGATAGAAGGTGCCTTTCTGAATATTATTTGATCTGTGCTATCCCTAAAGTGGCGTTGGTCACCTGGGGAGGCAGTGGAGAAGCTATGAAGTGTTTTGCAACGTTGTCACTTTGCAATGTAGCAACAGAAAGTTACAAAGGGTCATTGACAGTTTAAGTGAACAAATGAAACTGTGATATGTAGATTTCAATGAGGAGAAGTGTGAAAATCATCCACTTTGGAATTAAAAAGATAAAACACAGTATTTTCTAAATGGTAAGAAGCTGGAACAGTGCAGGAACATACAAATTAGGGGTGGGAGTAGGGCCCTTGAGCCTACTGCAACATTCAACTCCATTTTCTTGCTTCTGCCCTATACCCTTTCACTCCCTTGTTGGCCAAGAATCTACCTACCTCTACTTCAAAATATTCAGTGACCCCATCTCCTCCATACCCTGAGAAAGGGAGCTCCACAGTCATATATTATATGTATGTAAATGCATGGATTATCATGAACAAAACTGGGGACCTGGAAAGAGAAATTGCACTAGGGGATATAGCAACTTTGACAGAAACACGGCACAAGCCAGAACAGGGCTGGATACTTAACATCTCGGGTTATAAGGCTTTTAGTAGAAACAGGGCGGGTAAAAAGGGAGGTGGTGTAGAATCTATATGGCTGAAAGTGTGAAACAGGGAGGGAGCGGAAACCTTACTGAATACTTATTATAGACCTCTAAATAGTGGTGAGGAAGTAGAAGAGAACATCTATAGGTAGATTATGAAAACCTGGAAGACAAGTAGATTTGTGATGGTTGGTGATTTCAATTACCCTAGGTCTGATGGGGAACAAGGTAGAGTGTGGGGCATGGAAGTGAAGTTGTTCCTGGAATGTATGCAGGAGAAAACTTTCTGGAACAGTATATTTCTAGTCCTACCAGGGAGATAACTGCGCTGGATCTGGTCCTAAGAAATGAGACAGATCAAGTGAACAATGTTAGAGTGGGGGAACATTTAGGAAATAATGATCATGATATAAGGTTCAACATTAAGTTGGCAAAGGATAAAAATCAGTCAAGGATTAAGACTCCAGACTGGAAAAGGGCAGACTTTAGGGATCTAAAAGTTGAACTGCAGCAACTTGATTGGAAACACAAATTGGTGGATAAAACAATTTATGAAAAACATGGGAGAATTTCAAAACAGCGATGAATAGGGTGCAAGCTAGGTACATAGCAATGACATACAAATACAGGGTATCCAAAGCCAGAGTGCCCTGGTTGACTAAGGATACTGATGAGAAAGTAAGGAAAAAAAAAAGGCATGATAATAATAGCAATAAGAATCAGGAAGAATACCCCAAATGCAGGAGACGGGCTAAGGCTGGAAGAAGGAAGACAAAAAGGAAGCATTAGCAAAGGATGGGAGGCTGTGTTAAAACAAATAGTAAAATGCTCTTCAAACATATTAACAGTAAAAGATTAGTGAAGGATAGAATGGGGCCT